AGGAACAACCAGTGGTACTGGACAAGAAGAGGGCTGCAGTTGGTCATCTCAATGTAACGCACACCTTCGGTGTCGTTCAAGAGGCAGCCAAAGTCCAGGACCGTGGGCTAGATGTGGAGATTTGGGAAGTAGACTTCTCCCCGAATGGTGACCTGCTCCTCATGAGGATGCTCAAGAAACTGTATCTTTAGAACCTTCTCCACTACCCGGCTACACAAATCCTCTTCATAAGCAGGGTTAAATCTGATGGAGAGAAGTTGTTCCTCCCCTATCTCCAGCTTCATGGGCTGCAAGGAAATGAAGAGTATTTATCACCAGTGTGATGAAGTCCCAAGGTCTAGTAGCACAAAATGTGGAAATGTTCAACGTGTGACCCCAGAATAGGCTTCTCAGTTCATCCTGTGTTTTCTTCACAGTGTGTGCCTGACTGCAAGCCCCACCACACTCTGTCTGAGACTACCTCAGGCTCATCTCACTGTGCTCTGCATCAATACACGAGGAAAATAAATATTCTGCTGCTGAATTCAGGACCCCCAGGAGCGATGTGCTAAATACACAACTAAACCAGCACTTGGCACACCAGGGCCTTTTGCCCCAGCTCTAGAGGAACTGCTTTGCCCTCCCAGCACAAGCAGCATGGCACTGCAGCCTCACCCTTGCAGGGGCTAGTCACTGGCACAGCACAGAAGTGGTGGCCATGCCTACAACAAGCGTTTAGCAGAGCCCACGTCCAACACCTTCCTCCAACAACAGGACAGGGGCCAGGCAGCAGCTGGAGGAGCCTCCTAAGCCTTCCTGAAGGCAGGGCTGCCCCTGAGGAAAGCCAGCTGCTCTGGAGGGTATCTGAGAATGGCTGCTGGAGAGCTCGATGCCTTCAAAGAGACACCGTTATACATGGCTTGCTGCCTGCTCCCCTCTCCTCACGTCTTAGGGCCAGGATGTATTTCCCCAGTTCAGATGATATTTCGTTTCCTTCAGCAGCTTGTTTCAAATCTGACTTAGTTCAGGCCAGTCTACTGCTGAGTCTAAAGAATAAACTTCTCTGCTAGAGGACCTCCCAACAGAAACGTACCACCACACCCCCCCTCTTCAAACCCCACAGCGGGAAGGCCCACGGCTGCTCACCTGAGCATCTGCAGAGAGGGGCTGCTGCTCCGCATCACAGATTAAGAAGGGCTGCTCTAAGGCCAGGACGATGCTGAGTGGCAGGGCAGAGGCGTTTCTTAAAGAAAGAGACTGGTGCTGCAAAGTTAGGATATCACCAGGTTGCTACAGAAACAGGACACAAGGGGAAAAAACAATGTGAGGTGGCCACAGAACTCCTTCCCTTTCTGATACATTTCAAGTTTTTCAACCCCAGAAGTGCATACACCTCTATTTACTATTTTTATTAGTTTCTATCCTTCTAGGTGTTTTTTCTCTAAGTATATCGGATCCTTTCATGTTTAGAAACCACAGCATCCCTCGGGGACAGGGAAACACTCTGGCACACAGAGGAGGGAATAGGACCCTGAGAGGAGGCAGCTGCATGAACAAGACCAATAGCAGAAAGTGAACCCAGAGCACTTGTCTCCGTTTTCTATCCTTTCGAGAAGAATGGCACAAGATGATTTTCACTCACATACAGTCATTTCTTACAACCTTGTCAGCTCTAGTAGCCTCATAAGAGCAGTGATGCTGGTCAGAGGAGAAAAGCGAGCAGGATTTGGCCCTTAGTGGAGAGCCTGCAGCAGCCTAAGGTTGGCTTTGAGCATCTACAGGCACATACAGCCAGCGAGAAACCTCAACAGTCGGGCTGCAACGGGTGTCCTGTTGCCCCTGCTCCAGTGACAAGCTGTCTGTAGCCTTAAAGCTCAGCTCTGTCTAAGCTATTTCTTCCTGTTTATGCATTGCTCTGGGCTTCCTGCATGGTTTCTATAAACTAGACAGTGTTTGGGCAACTTGTTCTGGATGTATTGATATCAAACAGCTGCAGTGTCATAACACTCAATAAATCAAAGCACATGGCATCAAGCAGACCACAGGCAGACATCAGGGATAGCTGAAAAGCTTCTAATTAAACCTGTACTGCCTGCTCACAGGATTTTATGCTTCTCTAGAAGCCTGGGAACCAGAGGAGAGACCTGAAAACACAGAAACTAAATAATGAAATATCTTCTCTTGTCAGACACCTCACGGGAGAGGGAAAGGTGATGCAGGAGTCAGGATCCAGTGGCTAAGGGGCACCTGCTTTGCACTGGCGTTATCATCACTGCAGCTAAAGGATGTCTGCGGGTCCTTTGAAGAAGTTGAAGCTTGGGGAATTGCAAAGAGCTACCATCCACACCAAGAGCAGAGAAGGCAGACAGACAAAATGACAGGTTTTTATCATCAGCCTGAAGAGCTGACAGGAATCTCAGTTCTTCTCAGCTTCCCTACAGGATTGGTGTTCAGACATCACCGTGCCTTGGAGGATCCCCAAAAGCCTCCCTTCACACTGAGTACAGGAACTGGTGTCTCTCTAGAAGTAGCCATGATCCCCCTCGGCAGAGCAGCTGTTCTGCTTTCCTTGGGTGAAGTTAAAAAACAGTCCCATCTCTAAAAACACCCTCGCTTACTTTACGAAGCCCCTCAGGAAGGGTGAGGAGGGGGTTTAGCATCACTCAGCTGCAGCACTCTGCTCGCCCACCTCAGCCCCAGCACACAAGGTGGCTGTGCAAAGCCCACACTGTTCTCGTGGGTCTCACACATCTCGCCCTGTGCCCTTGGCTCAGCAACTCAACTCTGTCTCCACATCAAAAAGGCAGAATACCACTGGTGGGACTGTTCCTGATCCCAGAGGAGCGAAATATTGATCTCAGTGTTAATGGCAAAATCTCGGTCCTGCCCAGTCCAGGGACTTGGAGAAGCCATTTAACTTCCTCCTTTGAACACAAGCACACGCCCCACCAGGCTTTCAGTCACCAGTCATGCTCTTCAATGCCAGGATGAAATCCAGAGACTTACCTTCTCCACCCGGAAAGTGATTTCTCTGGAGGACATTTGCAGGACAGGAGCGATGAACTCGCAGGTAACATCCACTTCCATTATGGGAGCCTTCTCTGCCTTGCTCCCCACGACAGTGTGGCACAGCAGCCGCTCCTTCACCACCTGCACGGAGGAGTCACCCGTCACCCAGCAGGGCCCAGCAGGGCATCCTCAATCGCACTGCGTTTGCTACCCACCCAACCACAGACCCTATTACTGCCATCAAGTTACAGCCACTGGGCTCCTCAACAGCCACCTTTTCTTTTTATGTTGCATCCCATTTATTCTGCTCTCAAACGTTCGTAATACCACACCCCACTATCCACAAAAAGCCCTCGTGAGTCATGTGCTGCCTACAATTGTAATAGTCCCTGCCCCAAATTATTACTGTTTTGATTTGTCCCACTGCCAAGCATAATACTTACAGAAAGCTGTAGGAACTTATTAAAAATAAAGTTTTTAAAATGCAACTATATTAAGGGAAACAGGTGACAGAAGGGCCAATGCTAGCAAACCCTCCCTTGGAAGCTTAGAGGACAGGATCCATGGGAAAAACCCAAATAGGACGACTGCCTTCAGGTAAAGAGGGGACCATTCATTCCTAGCAGATACTGTGCCCTCATAGAGCTGGTTTTAAAAGAAACCTCCCCAGGAAAGAGATGTCTTGCAGTTTACATGAAAACCCTCTGCTTAAACTGGGTGCTCTTACACTTAAGACTTTTTCCTGATTTCTCATGGTTTCAGTTCCCCAAAATCCTCCCTTCATTTCTCACTCTTCCCTCTGCTACAACACCACAACTCCTCCTCAGAGCCTACAGACTCAAAACCATCTGTGCTGCATGTGCAATGCAGGGAGTTGGGCTCCTGACTGACATCAAGAGTACTAAGTTCTCAAGACCCGAGGAAGGTGGAAAGCCCACTCCCAGCGTCTTGGCTCTGACTGCAGGAGCCAGGTAGCCACAGCTCAGCTCACAGATCCCCTTTCGGCTTTCCAGGCAAGACAGCCTCTCCAGCACCCTGATCACTTTATTTCCTTTCTTTTCCCTGCTTCAACAAAACCTTTGGGCTCCGAACTGCACAGGGACAGTCCCATCACAGTCAACTAGGTAAGTAATCAAATATTCCTCAAGCTACCTACCAAGGCAGCCCTTTAAAACACCTTTCAAAACACAAGTATCAGCAGGAGCTTGATGCAGATTTATTCCACATTCACCTAAACATCTGTGCCCAGCAGTCTTGGAGAGAGGGAATGCACACCAGGGTTAGCTGGAAGTTTCTCTGCAGAGTAGGATTTCCCCTGGAAATAAGAGTCCAGGGAGGAGAACACCCCGTAACCCTGCTGAAATCTCCCCCTCTGAGCTGCCATCCAAGGGTGCTGCGAGACCTGGCTGCCCTTGGGACCCTGGGACTGTCTGAGAGACTGGGGCAAGCCATTATGCAAATATTGACAAAGTCAAGCTGTCAGTTATAACGATCCTTGCAAACAGTTTCCCACGTGGATGAACATCACCCGATCACTACAGCTGACACACTGTGTTCATTTTTCTGCTTCAGGACTCAGTGCTGGAAAAGCCCTCTGCCCATGTTTGTCTACAGAGGAAAAATGATGCTACTCCCAGACCCTGCCTCCCTTCACAGGTGTTTTGTTTTACTCACTGCTTCCCCCAAATACATTACTTTGCACTTTATTTACTTTCTGCCTGTGCTCCTAGTCTAAGCGTAACTTATTTTCTCTGCCCTTCCTTTCTGCCTCAGCACATGACACCTTGTAACCTGCCATTTGCCCCTGAAGTAGCAATATTTCCTTCAGCCTGTGTTTTGGTATCAGCAGGTTGGGTTTACAGTAGCCATCGAAACATGAAAAAGCCTTAGGAACTGACGGTGGCCAGCAAGAAAAGCAGCTGGTGCTGCCATGGTAACTTGTGGTGTTAGAACAGTTTCTTGAAAGCACTTGCTCCTGATGGGGAAGGCTCAGCCCTTGGGGGGAACCTCACCTGCGGAGTGCTGGAGAAGCCTTCCAGCACCATCTCCGTAGTCTTGCCCGGCATCAGCTGCACCCTCAGCGGTTGAACCTTAAACACAGGGTGGGCAGGTCTGGGGCTCTGGGAGGAACCTTGGCCCTTGCTGGTGCTGACAGCAGGGACACAATGACGCCGGCGAAACGAGCCAGAACCTGCTGTTGACCAGTAGAGCCAATGGGTGCGCCGTCCTTTGTTTATTATCTTGAAGCGGTAACAGCAGGGATCCAGGCTGGAAGGGAAAAGAGATGGAAAAAGTCACGGGACCTGCTATCTCCCAGCGGTCACCCAGATTCAGCATCCTGATGGTGTTACCTGACTGCACACTCAGCAATAAAAGCACCTCCAAAAAGGCTGACCTAGCTCAAAGCTTCAGCAAAAGCCAGACCTTGGTTGCTCCCTTGGTTACAGCACCCAGCAGCTGCTCTGTTTGTGTACAGCAAGGAAGAGCTGCATGAAGATCATCATCTCAGCTGCTGCAGACAGCATCACCAGCCTAGAGACCCTCTGGTGACCTGGGCACCCCCTGCCTCGCTGGCGGGGCCCCTGCCCTGGCACCCCCAGTCCCTTAGGGAGCATCCAACCTCATCACCCCCAACACATTGTCCTTTGCCTGAACAGTGCAGCTGGTGTTGTGGTTTAGGAAGATAAATGCACTTTGAGAACATAGGATCAACAGAAGTTTCCCCAAATCAAACATGGCAGCAACACCAGGTCTGGCTGCTGAGGGAATGGAGCAATGATGAGAGATGAATAACTAGAGCTAGATATAAATCAAAATGAATACTCAATGGAAATTGATTTCTTCATGTAAGGAAACACTAACTGCAGGCTCATCTGGAGTAATTATTTTACTCTCTATAAATCTGAGCATGACCAGGGCGTGAATTGTTCCTGGAAGAGTTACTGGTTTTTTGAAAAGGACAGAATACACAGCTTACAAAATGCATGCCTGCCCCAGGCAGCTAAATGCACAGACCTGAGACTAGAATAGAACAAAACAGCCGTTGAAACAGACTGTTAAAACATGATGCATACAAGCTTAGTGTGAAATGGTTTCTGTGGTGGACAGCACAGAAGAAAGCCTGGAGAAGCTCTGGGTGGCTGCAGAATTTGTGTCTCTGGGAAAGACCAACTCATCTGAGATGTTACCTGGGTCCCGTCTCAGCTCACCTGGTGGCAGCTCTGCAGCCGACAGCAAAGGCAACAACTCCAGAGTCTGCAGAGCAAAACGTGAGAGCGGGCAGAGGACGATGACACAAATCACACTGACATCGCCCACTCCGCTGGGTAGCCAGTTTGTGGCTGCACAGAGCACAGGACACGCTGGACAAGCAGCAAACCCCTACAATGTCCCTGCGTATGTGGGTGGCTTGTGCATACATATTGAAACCCCCAAAATCTATCCTAAAGAGTAGGATCAATCTGCTCTTTCTACCCCCAAATTTAGGGATTGGACGGCTGTGGACACTCTGCAGCCAGGGAAAGGAACAGGCACCTCAAGAAGACTATTCTTCTCGTCATAAGACTTGTCCAACACAAAGCAGGCAGCACTTTGAAAAGGCTTATTTTTCTCCCATTTACAGGAACAGGCCTGGTCAGATAGAGGCGTTAGGACCAGTGAACCTCCTCCTTTGAGCCAAGCTCTTTAATTAACACCTTCCATTTATCCTGTCCAATCTCAGTGGACTTTTCCGCCTCTCCCTTCCAGAGCTGGTCCAGTGCCACCCTCGTCTGCCCACGCCTCAGGCTCCGCTGCAGCGGTGATGCCGAGGAAAGCCGGTCGGAGAGATGAGGGAAGAGCAACTATGTCTGATGAAGAGCAGCCCGGCAGGGGAGACGGGGAAGGCGAGCAAATGAGAGATGACATGGGGCAAAGAAATTCTGCTGCTCCTCCAGGACCGCTGGGCAGAGGGCAAACAAAACAGCACCATTAATTTAGTCAAGGACCTGCTAACAAGCTACCACCAAGGTTTTCCGCTGTTGCGAGATGATACTCCACAGGGAAGGGAAAAACAAGCAACATTATTGCAAAGGGAAATATGTTTATACTTGTAATGTAGCATCTTCCACCCAGAGGCTTCCAGGACCTGCTGTTTTCCTCCACATCTCTTTTTGTTCAAGTGAGGAAATACACACATTATAACTAAAGACAAGTCAGTGACAATTTAACAACTGGTTTCCATTTTGGTGGCTTTTGAGGGTATCTAACAACTTTCAAATGGCCATAGAAGGTTTCTAAAGGAAGCCCTGTGGCTTCAGGAAAACAGAGCCAGGACCTTGAGTGCTGAAGAACAACCAGCCTGAAGGACTACAGCAAAACTGCTCCTTGCTGAGCCCACAGCAGAAGCTGAGATACCCTACCTGAAGTGGGGTCCCAAGTTGAGCTCCGGAGCAAAGGGTTTGTCAGTGACAATCGTGGTGCCAATGACAACAGCCCGGACAGGGATAACGTAGGTGTGGCTGTTCTCTATGAACAGGTTCACCTAATCCTTGAATTTCTCCGTGTCATCCAAGCTTGCTATGACAGCCACAGACACCTCTGTCTCAGGGGGAATCACTCCTTCACTGGGTTCAATCCTCCAGCATGAGCATTCGTGAGCCTGTAAGACAAGCCAGACACTAACTTAGCATGGAAACCACGGACCCTGGGCTCTTGTGGGGTGCAGGAAAAGGAAGGACTGAAGATATGAGGATAAAAAATAGAAAGGCTCCATTTCCCTAAATCCAAGCTGGAAACAACAACTATGCAGGAGCTTCTACAACCTGTATTTTACCTTCCTTTAACAGACTCACTTTATTAATCCAGTGTTGCCCAACCCAAGGGATGCTCATCCTCAGGAGGAGGTTATTCCTCCTCCAGTCTCTCTTTTGGAGCACACGCCAAGGGAAGCTACTTCACCTCTCCTGGCTTCCTGACAATGGTGGCTGGGTTGGCGTAAAGGCTCAAGGCCAGAGGAAGCCAGGACTGCTCAAATCCCACCACAGCAGCCACACAGTTGGGGGATACTGCTGAGAGCCTGAAGAGTAACTCTGCAAAACCGGCTGATCAAAACCCTGACACCAACATCTTCTTTCCCAAGAGTTACTCAGTGCTTCTCAACAGCCCCCGAAGAACTGAAGCACTCGGTTCCCACTGATCACCAGCTGCAGTGAGGTGCCCCAGTGCCTTCTGCTTTGGAAAATTCAGCTATAAATGTTCATAGCAGGGCAGTAAAGCAATAAGCAGAAAGCAAACTGGAAGGCATGTGCCCTGTAGGTATGGCCCGAGTTTCCAAGCACTCTCTTCCCTCTGGTTTCTCATGGACCTCCCTCCACCATTGGGGCAGTGAAGGTGCTTGACCCCAGCCCCTCTAAAACCACGTTCCCAGGGAGCAAGCCTGCAGAGAGGAAACACACACCGTGCTCCCTGGCCAGCGGGAAACGCACAGGGAGGCAGATGTACAGCTTCCAAGTGTCCATCACGGTGGTGGTGGTGCCTGCACCCCACACTTCAGTGCTGCGTTTGGGGTGACAGGCACTACTCACCCAAAACTCTGAAGTATTGTAAGAGAAGAGGTTTCCCCCCGCCTTTTTTATTTTTTAATGGAAAGCAACAGTGTGCTTGGAGGCCTGACATGATCCAAGCAAATGCTCGATCCAGGTGAGGTTAGCTCAAGTTTCCATCCGTCAGGCTGGCAGCACTCAGCTCTAACTGGACACCAGCCAGCCCAAGGGAGAAGAGTGTCAGAAAACTGAGCAGCACTTTGAAGTCTTGGGAAGCATTTTAAATAACCCCCCAAAATGACCTCTGCTAGCAAGGGTAAGACTTTCTGGGGACGAGGAAGCAAAAACTTGCTGAGCAGGCAGCATCCCAGCAGCGTGTGTAGGATGCCCCAGCTCGGATAGCTCCTTAGGCTGGCTGTGCCCTGCATGGAGAGCAGGTCAAGTCTGCACGCCTGCATCCCAGGTGGAGCATGCCAAAGGCATCAACATTATTCCAAGTGCTTGCAAAATCAATTACTCTGCTCCATTTAATTTGTCCTCTAGAGCTGCAAAAGAAAGTCTTAAAAAAAGCAAGATGAGAATGGGATGAAAGAAGGTTGTTGGCACAGGGTAAACTCTGGGGCCTCACACGGGATCCCACCACCCCTCCTCTGCTGCCCCTGCATCCCATGTGCAGCCCATCACTAGCCTCAGAGGCATCCACTGCACTGCCACCAGCCGAGGGCTACCCAGCCAAGGCGTTCACACCAACCAGTGGCTGTTAGCTTTTCTTTGCCCTCTGATTCATGGTAGCTCACTGGAAAAGGAGACTTGATAGCTCTGCCCCGGATGTGAATCTACATGTCTGCTATCTGGCAAAGCTCATTTATCAAAGCTTGGCAACAAGCCAGGCAGTAAATTGTACCCAAGAAACTATGACTGAGGAATAATGACAGGCTGTCTCGATGGAGCCAGACTCTTAATTTCCCAGGGTGAGCCAGGGCCAACAGCCCACTCCAGAAGAACAGGAATGGCATCGTGTCCTCATTCTTTCCATTAGCATTTGGTGTGGGTCCAAGGGGCAGCACGGGGCAGCACAGTGCACCACTGAACAGGAGACCTGCCAGGACCAAAAGGCTCTGCCGGGCGAGACTCACTCAGGTTTCCAGGTCAGCTTCTGCCTGCGTGGATCCAGGCTGCGTCCCAGAGACAAGGAATCTCTTGGAGCCACGCTAAAAGTTCCCCCACTTTGAAGACCATGATCTAACTTCTGATAACGTCCCTGCTACTCGCTTATCCTTGAATGCTCCAGAACACAACCCAGTAGCCCTGTGCACTGGATAGACAAAAACAGTGGCTATTTTTGTCCCTGTAGGAGGTTGCACAGAGTCCCTGAGTGCTGAGCAAGGGTGGGGGTCAATCACTTATACAAGAAGTTCAATGCTGAGATCATTAGCTTCTCCCAGGACAGATTTCCATCGTGAATAAGAGCTGCCAGAATTTGGAATAAGAAACCACTGTGCATCTAAGAGATAGATGGATGGATGGATGGATGGATGGATGGATGGATGGATGGATGGATGGATGGATGGATGGATGGAATGGCATTGATGGCTGGGATGGGATGGATGCCCTAAGGAACAACTGAGGAGCCACCACACTCAGTTCTCTTGAAGCTGCTTAAAGCTAGTTAATTAAGGGATTCATTCTGGCCTTGCACAAGTGAAAGAGGAAGCAGAACTCAGTATTAAAATGCAGAGCTGTACTTTACCAAGCCACAGCACTAGCGAGGGAGCATTCACACCTTTGTCAGCCAACCCATCGCTCCTCACGAAGGCTGCACATGAAGGGGAAATAAAACCCCATCCCACATCAGTTGTGCACAGAGGCTGCACATGAAGGGGAAATAAAACCCCATCCCACATCAGTTGTGCACAGAGCCTCGTCCCAGGTGTTTCAGTAGTCCTGAGGTGGGGGACTCTGCGTTCTTCATTTCAAAGGTACTCTTTATTCGCACAAACTGCCAGTGGCAGAAGAGAGCCCCAGACCACCCCGAGCCCCAGCAGGAGGTGGAGGTCAGGGCATGAGGCTGGCTAGATGTTCCCACCAACCGCCAGCCGCCTCCTGGCACCTCAGCACTAGCATCTCCTCGGCAAAAGCACGGATGGGGACCACTTTGGTTTAGCCTCTGTCCCAGAGCACCATCAAGGGGATGTTTTATGAAAACGAAAGGCAGAGCCTCTAAAAAAAAAAAAAGTAGTGTGGCACTCACTGCTGCTGACAACAGAGCCTAACTTGTCAAGCTTGGTTCAGTCAATAGCAGACTGCTGAGCAAGCTAACAAAACTTGTCTCCATTTGTGTCCCTGGTCCATAGCTCACCCCTCCAGATCCCATCTGTGCTTCCTCGCTGGGCTGGGGAGATCAGGGCCACCTGGTTTGATAACCAAACTCCTCCTGCTTTTCCTTTGGGAAAAGCACCCAGCTGAGTCACTCTTGCTTCTTGGAGCATAACTGCCTTGAAGATTCTACCCTTCTTTAATTCAGTTAGCCAACAGGTGCAGCATGATACGGCAAGTTTAGTTTCCCTAGACAAGCAGGATAACAATTTCTTCCATTACTGAAAAACAGCAATTCTGAAAGGGCCTGAACTCATATAAGATACCTTACGTGATAAAAACCAAACTCCCCTATGTGGCCAGGTTTCAGGCACCTTTTCCAAGGTCTCCACACCTCTGCTCCCCTTTCTGAGAGCCACATGCTCTGGACTTAAGCCTGCTGGACCTAAGCCTGTGCGACACTGGGAGGGATGCAGCCTTCCACCTTCCTCAGGTTTTGGTACAACCTGTCACAAGGGCAACTGATGCTTCTGGCCATGACCCCTGCTCATGACTGATGCCGTGTGTTTCCAGGCACAGGTGGCTACAATGAATGGTTCCCTCCAGCTCTGGCAAGATCAAACTGGCTGGAAATCAGCAAATTGGTACTGCTGTATTAGCAAAACATGGCCTTTAAAACCTAAACTAATGGTTTAAGCCTAAAGGTGAGCTTTTGGAGCACCATGAGGCTCTGGTGAGACAGCTCTGGAAAGAGTTAAGCCTGTGCATCTGTTCCTGTGATGGGCCTGGCTCATCCTCATCCCCCACTTTGCGAGCTGACTTGCTGATATATTTTGTTTTCTGTATCGGGGCGACTGATACCGGCACTGGCTGGCTCTCTGGCTCAGTCGCTGTGCTGGTGGAGGCGACTGAGACTGGCTCTGCCTGTTCCCCTGGCCCAGATACTGTACCAGTAAATTCACTCTCAGGTTCTGTAGCGTTTTCTCCCCACTGAGGGCAGTGGGTGGTATTAAAGAGGACAAGGTAGGCATGGGCAAGTCCCCAACACCTTGCAGTGAGTTGTGTCTCCTAGGTTTTACCCGCTTGGTAACACACCCTTTCTAAGCACTCCATCAGCTTCTCAGGGCTATGCATTTGTTGGGGACTGAAATTCCAAAGCATTGGAGGTGCCCACCGACTCAGGCCTTTGCCCATCTTTTCCCACACCCCTTGCCAGTCACTATTATCTGACCTCGGGGCAGGTTTCCGGGCACTGCTATTGTTAGAGAAGCGCCACATGGCCCAAAACAAGATCTGGCAGACATTCAGAAAGCATTGTGCCGCAATCACACTGGCCTGCAGGCTCCAAGGATAATTGAAACTCCCAAAACCCGAGAGGATCTCTTCCCCTGGCTCACCCATAGAGGGGGTGAGACCCCTAACAAAAGCCCAAATGGCAAACAGGTACCGCAAAATACAAACACATTATAAGCAGTCAGGAGCCAGTACAGCAAAATAAGACCCTTTACACATTTTCCACTGATAACAAACACCAGCACTGGAAACACACAGTGGATATAAGGAATAATCAAGCCCCACCATGCAAGCAAGTGGGCCAGCATTGAAAACATTTTCTTACCAAACAGTACAAATACAAACAGAAAAATTACACCCAACAGATTGCTCTAGCACACTCTAGTCAGGGTCTGTCCCTTTTTGATTCTTATTTCAACCCTCTTGTGCCCCATGTTGGTGTGCCAAAAAAGGCTGTGTTGGTTTAAGCCCTGCCGGGACCAGAGACCACGTTGCTGTTGTCACTCCCCCACCCTCGGATACAAGTAGGGCACAAACTCCCGGTTGATATAAGAAGAAATTTAATACAACAGTGTAATAAACAATCTGAACAACAACAGTAGCTATGATAAGAACAGTAAACATAAATAACAGTACACAAGACAAAAGATATACAAATACCACAATGGTTACAGACAGCCCTGTGCTCCCTGCGACCAAAGCCACAAAGGAAAAAGAATTCCCATGCTCCCGTGCCCGGACCTGAGGTCAGCATGGTATGAATAACCTGGATGAAGATCCCTTCCCCCTCTCTGCTGGGGAAAACTTAACCCTATCCTAGCTGAATCAGGACAGCATCTTATCTTCAAAATTTCTGCTCACCTTGGAAGAGACCCCATATTCAGGGCCAGTGTTGCCCATATCCTGGAATGTTAATTTAACACTCATTTCTAAATAGCATTGCAGATATCATTTGAAGGGCACAGCACTGTTATCCACAAAAAAAAAGCATCTTGCCTTGCTCAGATAATGCTCTTTTCTCCCATAGAGCAAGAAGAAACCTTGACTTGACAGGAACAGCAATTTGCATGTGATGATTAATACCACCACCAAGGTGGCACCATGGCCATCTGCATTACAGCATTTTCCTTTCCTGTTTCAAGCAAGATACTAAACTTATACTTGCCCTGTTGCTGTCCCTTTATTTAATCTTCAGTTTGTTGAGCTGCCAGTCAGTGTGCTGTAACATTGCTGATGCAATGCTGCTGTGAAAATTTCAATCATAGCTCCTTCCTTTGAGCAAGGACCGTGATCTATAAGCCTAACTGCAAACAGCCACTGTTTTGAGATCAGCCATCAAACGGGAGACAGGGAAATCACAGCTCACCGTCCTGCAGCAATCTCCAGGCAGGAAATCAAAGCAGCAGCTTTTCTGTCTTAGAGAACACAAGACTTGGGCTCAGGGGCACAACTGGATGCAGGATGCCCAAGTCACCCACCAGCAAGGCTAAGGGACTGCCTCTGCTCTCAGAGGTACATGTGCAGTTCACCCTGGCACCTGACTGCATCTCAGATCTTATCTCCAAAATTATTCAGTCCTCTCTTCTTCCCATCAATAAATGGCCAGGCAGCCTAAGGCAGCAGCAAAGGGCGAAACTTCAACTGAGGCAGCAAAGCAGCACCAAAGGAGGCAGCTGCTGGGGGCAGAGAGCAGCTGGAGCACACCTCGCCTGCCGCAGTGCTGCTCCCCTGGAGCTCAGCATCAGGGGGATGAAGAGTCTGAAGAGCCCTTGCTGAAATGACTGATTGAGCAGGTTCTCAGGACCTGCTTCCTTGAACTCCTCCGTGAGAGCAGCAGCTGTCCTGAGAAGCCGAGATGCTCACAGTGGGGTAAGTCAAGCCTGTGGGGTCAGCATGGGGGACTACGGAGCAGCAGAGGCCACCCTTACTGCAGGGCAAGAAACCATCCCTGATCCACCTGCTATTATTGTTCTTTTTATTGATTAGCCACAATATTTGCAGAGGTTGCAGTGAAGCAGGATAGGACTTATTGCCCAGCCCCATGCCTTAGGGCCCTGAGGCAGTGCAGAGGCAGATACACCCTGCGAGCCCCCCGGGGACACACAGGCCGCCCGGGGAGGGAGGGCAGGCGTGAGGCCGGACAGCAGTGCCTGAGCATCTCTGCGGGTCAGGGCCTGGTATGAGCACGCAAACCCCGTCATTCACACACCAGCACCACCCACCCCAGGTGGCTTGCTCTCTGCAGAGATAGAAAGCAGGTTTTCATTGTGGAATCAAAGCAAGCTGCCCTGGGAATCCCCCACTTTGAGGTTACATTTATCCTCCAAACAGCTAGAAAAGCCGCATGAGGGAAATTCAGCCCCGTCCTTGGCCCAGGAGGCTGAGCCTGTACTCTCACACACTGCCTGATGCTCCATCCACAACACCAAGTCCACAGTGCCAGGCCTGGGCTAACCAGCCCCAGGAGTCTGACCCACCTGGCATGGAGAAGAACAAACCCCCTCCGAACCCTGCTTTCAAGCCCCTCACAGATCCCCCCTCCAGTGGGGAGCACACCCCACCCAGCCTCAGCACACGAGCCTGTGCTGGCTGCATCAGCCCTGCTCCTCCTGCCAGAGAGCAACGCACCCTCCCTGGGCTGTGCAGCTTCTCACCCTACGCAGCCTCCAGGATTAAAGAGCCTTTCTCTGCAGCCAGTCTCCAGAGGTGCTCTGTAACGTGACGGACTCCACCGTAGGTACACCACCCTTACACGTATATTCTTGTGCAACAACCCAGCTGGCTTGACCCCCAGGAGGTGTGAAACTCACCTTACTGCAAGCAGTTTGAGGCCAGACCTCACAGCCTAGTCTCTATAATTAACAGCAGTTCGACATAAAGCAAATGCAGATCTAGCAGGGAAACCGTGCGGAAACCCATGCCCTTTCAGGACCAAAGGGCCACGGCGTTCTCTTGGTCTCAGAACTCCAAACACATGACTCTTAGAGCTAAATACCTTCCACAAAATAAAGGGAGAACTTGCAACACTGATCCACTCATTTCTGCTCAAGCATCTATGCAAATTTTCTGTTTTACTCAGGGGTCCCCCAGCTAAAACTGCCCCCAGACCAGGCTCCTCTTGCTGCATTGTGAAGGAATACATTGCTTTCTCAATCATCTAGTGATATGCAAATGTTGCATATAAAAATCAAGTCACAGGTTGCTTGTCAGTCATTTTTGTTGGAAAATAGCCCCACTGACACTTACCATCGTTGCCCTGAAGGATGCAGGGATGACACTCTGATTGGAGAGGTGGAGAGTTCGGGAGGCATCTTGCAGAACTTGGATACTGCCAAAATTTATTTTGCTTGGATGTACATAGACAACTGGTCCTTCTCCAGTGCTCACTAGATGGATTTTCTGCTCCAGAAAGCAGGTAGAAAAGATAAAAAAAAAAAAGAAGAGAGAAAGTTTAAAATTATTAAACAGCTCTAAGGGTACTCCTAGACTGGGGGATAATTACGGCTGTTTGAAGTTTTCAGTGTTGTAAAACTGAAAACAAAGGCCTGAAGCCAGTGTGGGACCTGGACTGATCCCATCTGAAAGACACAAGCTCCTGTTATCAGGGGATAAAGAAACCCTGTTTCCCCTGCTTGCTTTTTCACACCTCCTCCACACTGGTAACTCTCCTTCCTCTACCTTGTGCCTGCTCCCACTGCTTCTACTGCTCAGTCTTGCCCCAGACCACCTCCCTGACTCCTGCTGCTGCACAGCACACTGGGACAGTGGCTTTAGTCCCAAAGCTATGCCTGTCAAAGCCAGCACCAGGCAGAGGCAAAACAGGCCCTTTAGAGTAGAGATCACACAAGTTAGTTGCTCTGATTTGCACTTACGTCTATTCCTGGTATTATATGGATAATGGGCATTAATTATTAATTACATCATTCAAGCAGTATTTTTTTCTTTTGACAGTCTGAGACCCAAAAGTTCTGTTCTTGAAGAACTGTCACAGACTACTGGGGAAGGAATGTGGATCCCTTTGCTAAACCACGTCCTCACATCAGTAAAAACATTCAGGAGGCATTCAGGGGATTTAGCAGCATCATTTCCACTCGTTTAATTAAAAGTTTAAATCCCTGTAACTACTTTGAAAATGTCAGCCTTTCTTTCTGTTACAGAAAGCTTAAGGCTCACAGGAACCCTCTGACATCCTCTTTCATGCTCAGAGAGATGAGAAGACATTTTAAAACAGCTGCTTCAAAAGTTGATATCCTTTTAAATTAAAGCTTAATTAACTGTATTTGATCTCGATTTCAGCTAGATGAAGTCAGGACACTACAGACAACATTCTCTTGCCTACATTTTGTGGTCATTGATGCTGTTGTGTATGCCTGACTGTGAACATCAGCTTTCAGGAGGCTTTAGTCAGGAATGCTTTGCCTCATCCATTTCCAAGCTTGGTAGAAAAAAAAAAGTCTCTGTGCTCCAGGTGCAAGCGGTGTGGAGACATGAGTCTTTGGCTGGGGCTCTCAGCAAAGAGCTATGACGGGTGTTTCTCAGACGTGATGGGCCTGACTTTCAGCACGGCCTCTTACACAGCGCTTGAGTTAGCAGGATTCAGGGATGTCCCTGTGTGCTCCTGAACAAAAGGCCTAATGAAGCACCAGAGCTGTTAATCTAATAACACAGCAGAGTACGAGACCCAGGGGGTGTTCTGGGCTTCAGACTGGCCTTATCCCATCTGACCTAGCTGTAATTAAATGCTGTGTCAGACACTTAGATTACCACCTGGGATGACACCATCCTTCCTCTTCTCTAGGTGAAGGGGAGTGGCTGCAAGTATACTTGAGATTACAAGACCTCCTGACCTTGTCAATGGATAGAAACCAGTAAAGTAGGATGCTTAGTTTTAACGTTAACCATCCCTTGTGTTTCACTAGCTTTTATTTTTCCTGTATGTACTGCAATGTATACTATTTCATTTATACTCTTTTCCTAACTACCCTCTGACATCTCACCCACTTGTAAAACACCTTGAAACCTGTAATTCCTTGCCTAGTGGAGTCAAAACAGGCCTTGGACAGCCTGGTAAACTCCCGGAGTACATCCCTGATAACAGGGACCTAAAAACAGAAGACAAGCACCTGAGAAGACGCCAGTGTCAAGAAAAGAGACTGGGAGCTGGTTTAAACCAAACCCCTCGGAACAAACAGGAGCCGAAGGACGGTGAGGTCACTCCATGACCATGCATGGACACGGGAAACCTCAAGTTCAGCCAGCGGGCAGTGTGAGGAAGACGATGTGGACCACCAGAGGGGAGAAGACCCTCAGTCTATTTTTACGATACACGCTCATTTACTACGTAAATGAATTCTGTATATTAGTCAGAGAGCTTTGTTAGTAGCTACAGCACTTGTGGTGGAGCGATCCCCAGTGCTGCGAATAAAGAATCCCTGCTGAACACTCATAATTCTGACTGTGAAGCTCTTTGTTTCACAGGCATTACCTGTTGCGTATGCCACAAACCCCTTCTTTCCTTGTCCACATCAGCATATATTACAAGTTCTTGTTTTTCCGAGAAGGATCACCGGAGTTAGCAACCCTGCCTGAGGCTTCACACCCCACCAAGAGGAGTCGCACCAAGGCCCACGTCCCCTGGAACTCACCAGAGGGGATCCTTCAATCCCAAACACTGCAACATGAGCAACAGTGTCCTGCTCTCCCGTCACCTGGGCCTCCAGTGTCAATGGGACATCCACCGAGCTGCGAGGCTGGACAATCCCCCACGGCACGGGGCTGGAGTACCACACAGACGCATCCTCCTTGTGTTCCTGTAAGGGACAGAGACAAACGCAACACACAGGAGTGACTTTGGAGTGACTTTGGAGGAAACTTTGAACTCCTCAACATCTATCACAATGGCAATTCACACACATTTTCAAAAACCCCTAGGAGAAAGCAGAAAAGTACAAAGCAAGATTCAAGACTTGTATGGGCTTAGCATCCTCAGAGGGTCCAAAAACTGCTGCACCCACAAACACCCACTCCTGTGCTGGCAGCCTCCTTGCAGAAGCTTTTCACAACCCTCTAAGTTCTCCTGAATGAAAGCACCCCAAAAACTAGAATATAAACTGCTTCCTAAAAACTTTAGCTTCCTGACATTTATATTCAGGTAGGTTCCTGTTTAAGTGCTTCCTGAAGTTTATATTCAGGTAGCTTCCTTTTCTCAGCAACCTTTAGGTTTCAATATAAACCAGCAAGGTCTTACCCAAACCCCTTTTTTTCCCTAATAAACCCTTGGTAACGTCCGAGGGCAGGAGGCGGATGCAATGCCAAACCTGAGGAAGAACCCTGTAGCAGCCTGGAAGATCACTGTCGTTCACAAAGGTCAGCATCTGCTGGTAAGGGATTTTTAGGAAGCACCGTCCGAACATCACGACAGGG